TGAGACAAACAAATGACATTAGAATCTCAATTTGTGTCCTTCTCATTCCATCACCTTTCCAAGATTTCCTTTGGGGGATGGGGATGTAGCCGCTACAAGGCGAAACGCGGGTGCCACTTTTGCTGGATCGCTTGGGCACCCGGCAGCCGAAACCAGCCCAACACACTGGCAACGCAAGACCCTCGAAGCAACTCATGCGGGTTGAATTTTCTTAAATTTCTAAATGCCCCGCTTTGACAAGGACCCATGACCTATGCTCGACTTTGCAAAAGAGCTCACCCTTAGGACAGCCCAAAGAGCTCATCTAGTCCCAGGCGCAATTGTTCGAGCTGCTGCCTCCAAAATGCTGGATCCTCGTAGCTCAGACGCTCAGCGACGCTCAGATGCTCAGACTTTCCCGATTTTCTTAGGCTTACTGGGAAGGCCTGGCCGAGAAATCCAGGCGCGCCAACGATTTCTGGCACGCTGCAAAGCTTTGGGTGCCTCGGACCACGCCATGTCGAAGTCCGAACTCCGCCCGCGAAGTCCAAGGTCTGCCAAGTCCAGAAGTGGCCACGGCCTCCCGAGGATGGCGTGCGCATGGCGTGCGCATGGTGTGCGTATGGCGTGCGCATGGCGTGTCTTGCAGTGTGCATCGCCTGTCAGGAGCCGGAGCAGAGCTGTGTGAGCTTCGCACACCACACCTTCCCCTGCTTTCAGCGCTCTGAGAAGGCCGTTCTCTTTCTACGGCGGAACAGGAGATGTCTCTCATGTCCATGCATTGTGATAGCCATATGTGCTCCAATTGCAACTTGGCCTTGTTTTTCCTGCCGCCAATGGGTTTGTCCCAAGAGGTGAGCCATTGCACGGAGATGTCCGTGCGATTCAAGCCGTTGCAAACAGCACGAATTCCAGTTTATTGGCTGGGATGTTCCCGGGGGGCCTGTGAATGTTCCACCTGCCGATTGTTTAGCTGTTTGGCTCTCAAGTTCATGTACTTCAGTGCAAAATTGCTTGCGCTTGGCATGCCGTGCACATCCTCTTGTGTATGCAAGCGTTTTGGACTGAAGCGCAGCCGTGGCCTGACTTTGGCAATAGAGCCTATGCAAATGTTGGTCTCCACTTGACCCCCTGCCAGAGTGTGAAGATGAAGTCTAAAGACTTTAAGATGTGCAGAAAGTTCTGATCGTTAGCTGAAGATCTTTCGTCCATTTTGTGTGAAGCAGCGCAGGGTCTGAGCAGGCATCCACATGTGCATGGCATGCAACGGCCCTGGCCGCATTTCGCATTTCCACATGCTGGCTGGAAGCCTTGCAGTTGTTGCCACAGCTCCCGCACCAAGTGGTTTGCATCTATTTCGGCCCGTGCCTCTGGGCATGAAAGCCTGATAGTGTGGAGACACGCTCTTCCCCCACGTAACATGCACAATGTATGTCACACTAGCCATTTTCTGAATTTGAAGAAGTCACGTCACGCGGTCTCTTTGAAGCCGCATGTCGATCCTATCAGAATCGATTTGCCTCCATTGTATTTGTTCACCTTGGATGCTGTTGCAGCTTAGCACTGTTCTCACAGTTTGCGTGGCGGTTTATACCTTTTCAGTCTTTTATTTTCTGGGCCTGCGGCCTCTAGCCGGCTACGCCTCTTTGAAGTTATACCATGTCATGTCATGTTTTTTGCATGAGAAACGTGGTTAGGTTATGCGTGTTGCCCACCCCAACCCCAGATAATGCCGGGGATGCCGGCTTTCTGGGCCCCAGCCTTGCCCCAACCCAGAAGGCTGACATGGGGTTGCGCGCGCGCGCGCCAGAGGCCCCAGAAAGAGCAGCCCAAAAAGAACGCAAGCCAGCTCGGAAACGCAAATGCAACAAAACACCGTAAATAGCAGCGTTTTGTGGCTGGGGTCGCGCGCGCGCGCGCCAGAAGGCCCGAAAACCAACGGGAAAAAGCAAGGACCGCGCAGCGCGCGAGCCAGCCACAGCAAAAGCAAAACGGACAGAACAACAGCCCACCGCTCCGCACTGCAGTTTTTGACGGTATTTACAGCGTTTTGTAGAGCGAGGACCCAGCATCTCCGGCATGCCCGGCAGCGCTTGACGCCAAAATGCGCAAAAATGAGCCTCGCTTATATCCCTCCGACACCTTCTAAAAACAGTGCTTCATGGGTTGAGAGGCTTTTTGGAAGGAAGTCTTGATGATGCAGACCAATCCCCGCTCAAGCATCACCCAGGCCCAACTGCGGACCCTGATGTTGTCAGCCGCATGGCCCAAACCCTGCATAGACGCGATGTGTTGCAAGGGTTTCCCACAGGCAAGCAAAGCCGCAAGCCCGAGCTAGTCATGCAGAGGTGCCGGATTTAGGCAACGCATCGCTGCATCACGACCAAGCGACGAGGGGCGGCACCAGGGTGCAGCCCCTATAGCCAAAGCTAGCAGGCTAATTGCCTAGCGGCAACATGCTACCCCAGGAAGCGTAGCCGGATTTAAGGGGGCCGCCATGACAATTGTGACTACGCATTTTTTGTCGGGTTTAGCGGCACACTTAAAGCATATATAAAAAAGAAGAGCACGATGATGATGTTTTTGATGATGCATTTGTTACCCAACATTAGGGATGCTGATAATTATTACTATGATGTTCTATGATGCATTATGCAGTCGCATTATCGCCAGCAGTTATGATGATAATTGTTACTTTGCACTTTTGGCATCACCAGCAGTTGTTCTGATAATGATGACAACGCATTCCCCGCATCTCAAACAAGCCACAGAGGGATAAATTCGCATGATAATGAGCACCTTGCTAAATTTTACAAGAAGTGCCCCGGGTGTGTGGAAACTCGGGCAGGAAAGCCATGTTGGGGGCCTTTTTTGTTCTCAAGACTTCGATGTGTTGCTGTGGATGCGAAGCGTGGACTCTGTGCCATCGCTTCGTCCTCGCGAGAAGTAAGCCGTTAGGAACACCTCCGGATGCAATCAGATGGTGATGGTGATGGAACCATGCAGTTATTTTGACAATCATGACTACGCATCCCCTGCATCTCAAGTCAGGTCTAACGGCGCACTTGAAACGTACGTGAAAAAGAAGGTTTTGAACATGATGAGTAACATGATGATGAAATGATGATGAAAATGATGATGATGATGATGATGATGATGATGATGATGATGATGATGAACATGATGAACATGATGAACATGATGAACATGATGACCATGATGAACATGAAAATGCATCATCATGTTCATCATCATTATTATTATCACATCATGCTGATGATAATCATCACTACGCATCCTCAGCATCAGCAGTTAACATGACAATCATGACAACTCTGCATTTCCAGTCGGGTCTAACGGATGATGATGATGATGATGATGATGATGATGAACATGATGTCATCAATCATATTTATCATCATGTTCATGATCATCATCATCATCATCATCATCATCATCATCATCATCATCATCATAATTTTCATCATCATGTTCATTATCATCATCATCATCATCATCATCATCATCATCCTGATGATAATCATCACTGCGCATCCTCAGCATCACCAGCAGTTAACTTCGTCACTATGCATCCCCAGCGTCAGCAGCTATCATGACCACCAACGCATCCTCTGCATTTCCAGTCGAGTCTGGCGGCACAATTGAAACGTATATGAAAAAGAAGAGCGCCACAGTAATGATGATGATCCGGATGCAGTGGTGATGATAATCATCACTAAGACAAGGACAAAGACAAACCCTTCCCATGCGCCTCCCCTTTGGAGAAAGGGGTCGGCGGATTTGATCTGACGAAATGTCAAAAGTGCTCATCGTGTTTCGCTTTTTCTCCAGGACGGACGAAGAGCTGCAGGTTGAGGTTGCTGTGGAGGAGAGCCAAGGCGGCGCCCGCAACGGCACCGACTTTGGGGCCACGAACTGCCAGGCGGAGAAATCGGGACTTGAACACCAGGAACCTTAAAAACCGGAAAACGGGAGAAAGGAGGGACCAACTTCAAAAAAAGGGGCGAAGATGGACCCCCAAAAAGGAGAAACCAATGTCGGCCTTGACCGCAAGCGCAATTTCCTAAATTCAGAGAGGAGATGACTTGAGGAAGCCCTGGTGTCGTCGTCCCGCCTCTGATGGTGTTGAAGCCCTACTGTTGTGCGGTGGCCATGCTTGGCTCAAGCATGTCGCAAAAGTCCAGTATGAAGGCCTTTGTGCTTTGCGAAGCGCTGGCTAACACTTGCCTGGCACAACCTACAGAAAGTCCTGTTTCGACCATTTCTTCAGCGGCACCGACTGTCCAGCCGAGCGCTTTGATTCTTAGCTGCGGGCCGTACTTCCAGTGCATATGGGTGTGGCTCAAATTTGAGTCAGGAAAACGCGAGTTTCTGTCTAGCTTTTTTCTCCATTTTGGGCTCCTACTATTGAGCCAAAACCTGTTAGCACTGACCTGGATCATTTTCTCGTCCCAAGGCGATTCTTTGGGAGCCACAGTGCGAGATTAAGAACTTGGCTTCAATCCAGGGTACCCTTGATTGCAAAGCCGATTTGGGTCCTTCGAGGGTCCCTCGAGTTGGCAAAATTATTGTTTTGCTTCAAGCTTGTGGCGCTGGGGGAAGCACGTCCCAATTGTCAAAAAGAAACAATGCAGGACAATGAGCAGGGTCCGCTCGCAATGGAAAGCGATCTTCGGGAGCTGCCTTGAAAGGAAAATTGTTCTTGGACCCTCAAATCGTCAAGAACTCTCCGCTTCTGATGTTTAAAACCCTCGAATTGCTAGCAACTCTGGTTGTCAGCATCTGATTCTTGAAGGCGGAGCGCGTTACTCCGCGGTGACTTTCGCTTTGTGAAGGTGACTTTCGCCAAAGGCGAGCATGAGGCAGTGCTGTACATCCCGATTGTGCACCACAAGGCCATGTGCTAGAGTCGCTAGAGCATGTCGCAGAAACAAAAGCTGCCAGGATTGTTGGCAGAACTCCTATTGGTTCCAAGCTCGTATCTTGAGTCTTCGAGGGCAAGGCGCCACGGGGAGAAGCCGGAGAGAAACGAGATTCAGCGAGCCCAAATTTGCACCTTGAAACTGATGGGAAAATCCTGGCAGCGAATGCCATGTGAGGCTGTGCGGCAGCTCCAGCGCAAGCCATGATCCTAGTCTTGGACGAGGAGTTCATTGCTTTACTGCCCATGCATGCCCATGCTCAAACCATTTGGTCATCTTGCAGGACACATGGCCCGCCAACATTCCATCTTACTTGAGAACAGGCGTGGCATATGCGTGGCATATGCGTGGGATATGCGTGCCGTGTTCCTGTGTTTCTCCGGGCTTCCCGGTTCAGTAATTCAGAGATTCAGGCAAAGGGATCAGCCTGATGCGATACTTCATCCATGCAGCCGGGACCCCAAGGCCACCGGCCAGCGGACGTGTGAGAGCGAGTGGAGCGAAGCAAAGGATCGCCAACGACGCGGGGAGAAGTGGACCAAGACCATGATCGCCATGGCGCGGTGCCGACAGTTCCGACAGTGCCGACAGTGCCGATGCAGTTCTGCATGTGCCGATGCATGACATGACAGTCGTCACGTTGCGTCACGTTGCGTCACGTTGCGCGTGCCAAGGTCTTTCTGCCTGTGCATTCTGTGCTAGCCGCCCGGCACGGCATTTTCGTGGCAGGGAGGCAAAAGCATGTGAATGGCCGAACATATATGAACCACAGCGTGAGAATTCCCCAGGTATCTACCCTGGTGCAGAAAATCCTGGTGGATCATGTGATTGGTCGCGTGATTGGAACAGATCCCACCTGGGGCTATGCAGAATGTCTCTTGGCATGTGAGATGGACATCTTGGAGTGAATGTCTCTTGGCTCATTGCCAGGCCTAATTCTGGTTTTGGTCCAGCTCTTGTCTCTCGGTCTAAACAGATGGGCAGATGTGGTGCAAACTAGAAATCGGGGCCGAACCGGAGGCATTCGCCAGGTGCCACGTCAGCATGATAAGCTTGTGAGCAGCTTGTGAGCAGCTTGTGCATGTGTCACCAGGCAGTTCTGGCATTCGCCCAGGCGCACAGATCTGATATGATCCGCAAATTCATGCACTTGGAGCGCTCAGAGTACTGGGAAGCATCGGATGCAGACTGGCTCTACACCGCCATTTATGATGTCGACGTGATCACCATGAAAGCGTGCCTCACCACATCTGTTTTCTCTTGAGCGAAGCGCTGCAACATGTCGTGGTGATCACTGTGATCACTTTTTTTTGGTCAAGGTACTTCGGAGTCTTCGTGCTGGCCCAGAGCTGCTTCGCCTTGGTGTTGTCCATCCTGCTGGTGAGCGGATTGGGCCTGTGGAGCTATGTGCAAGCCGGTGCCGCCCGGCACTTGCTCGCGCGCGTGGAGAAAAAAGAAGGAAACCACCCAGACCTTAGTTTCAAGATGTTTCAAGAAAGGCAAGAAAGAAGCGACGGAGAAAGATGTATCTGAGGCCTCAGAGGGAGTTCAGACGGCCTGGGTGGGCTACATTTTGGGTGTCTTTCTCATGATTTCCCTGGGTTTTATCGGTGTCTTCGTGCGGATGAAGATCATTTGGGTGGCCGTGCTGGCCCGCAAAAAGCACGAGTGCGCCTGGTTCAAGTCCTGCACGTGGGTCACCTGGAAGGAAATTTCGAGCGAGACCTCTTCACGTCATCTCTTTCTGAAATGTCTCTTTCTCCATTTCAAAATCTTATTTCATGTCTTCATTTCTTAGTTTCTTCTTTATTTTTTAACTTAGGTTTTCACCAGCTGGCGGCAGTTCACGGGACTACTGGGGCCCGAGAAGGCCAAGTTGGAAGCGCGGATGCTGGCGCAAAACGCCGCTCAGACATGTACGAGTCAATCCGTATTCCGAGCGAAGAGACATCTGAATACATCTGACCAAGGCAACGTTTGTCCCCTCGCACTGGGATGCACGTGATACGATGAATGACACTGCTTGGATCACACATTGGATTCAGGGCGGGGGGCTCACACTGCCTTGAAATCACGTGGAAAGTGTGTGACTCATGTGTGCGACCTTTGTGTTTCATGTATTTACCCAGGTGTTGCTTACTGCCTGATGCTGACCGTTGGTTCCTTCGCGTTGGCCGAGAACAAGGCCTTCGGCGTTGGTGCCATGGAGGTTGGTACTTTCTATGCACTGTGCAAGATCTACCTCAGCACCTTGGATTGTGAGCTCCATTGCCATCCATGTGAGCTGAATGCTTCGCACTGAGGTGTCGGGAAGTATATTGGGCGTTTGAGCAACGTCTTTGTTGACATGCAGAAGGCCGAGAGTTCGGCAAGGCTAAATGCATCAGAATGTGTCGGAATCGAGCCATAAGAGTCTTCAGAGTTTGCCCATTTAGCCTTAGATCGAAGCAGTCTCAAGTCGCGTGTCCTTTGTCCTCAAGGCGGTCTTTGTGTTTCGAGATGTTTCGATGTTTCGTGATGTTTCGTGTTTCTCTGGGAGGCGGTGGTGTCGCTTCGGGACGTGGCCGCACTGCTGAACCAAACCTGCCAGAAGTCCCAGCGCCAGGAGGCGTGAAGCGCGTCGCCTGATTCGAGGGCTCGAACACGAAAAGAAATCGAAAAGAATCGAAAAAGACGAAAATCGAAGTTGAGGCAGACCATACCCAAAGCGAGGCCCGACGGCAAGGACGCCAGGCCCAGGGGGCTCCGCGATTTCGCCTGGCCCCGGGCACCGTGCCCGGAGCCATCCGGGTCCAGGACAACCTTTGCTTCGCCTGGGGCCCAGAGCTGTTCGGCCGTTCGGACGGCAGGATTCCGAGAACTTTTCGCGCTCGGTGAATTCTTTTTCTTTCCATTTCTTTCCATGTCTTTCCATTTCTTTCCATTTCTTTCCATGTCTTTCCATTTCTTTCCATTTCTTTCCATTTCTTTCCATTTCTTTCCATTTCTTTCCATTTTCACCGCATCCTTTGTTGCGACTCGCCGCACGTGCCGCAGGTTCGACCAGAGCACAACAAGGCGCAGTCCGCTAGAGAGACGTGGTGAAGAGCAGAGCGCCGTGTTTCATGTCGAGGTTGGCTCCACGTTCTCAGAGCTCCGCTTGCAAAAGGGCTGCCTCATGCCTCTAGGGCGCCGAAGCAAAAAGGGAGGCTGAAGTGGGGAAAGACAAACTGATAGGTTCAAGTACATTTCAAGCTTTTGTCCAGAGCAGTAGCCAGTGGAATAGTTGAGCAAACCAAGGTTTGAGAAATGACAGAGAAAGAGGAACATTAAAAGAGACGAAGGTCAATGTGGAGACAGAGTGACTTGGAGAGGCTGGCCGGGTAAAAGAGTGGCCAGGTACTCCATTCACGTTTCTGGCCGAAATGAACGTGTGCTTCGATCTTTCTTGGGTTTGGCGTCACAAGTGATCCATCCAACAGGAGACTGATGGGCATCATCATGGGCGGGTTTGATCCGCACTGTGCGGTTTGCTTGCCACGCTTCTTTCTGCGAGGCACAGTTTACCATGCACTTTGTCAGGACCCAATGGAGAAGAACCATCCTCCAAGACACCAGATGTCCTGGTTCCGCCGGGAGTGACGGTGAAAATGCTGCCCACAGTGCCTGTGGCCTTTGGTGCGACAGGACCTTCCACTGCTGAGCAGTCCTTTTGGCGCACTCAGTGGATGGGAAAAAGCTGGATTTTTTTGATGTCATGTGTGATGTCTGTCTCTTTGTCTCTCTGTTTGTGTCTCTCTCGCTCTCTCTCGCTTTAAGGCTGAGCTTCACAGGCGCGCCCATGGAGCTCTGTCAAGCCCTGGTGGCCGCAGTCGGCTTGGACGCAGATCGGGATCCTTTCAGCCTCGGGCCTGGCTCGTCGCAGGCGCGAGCCTCACACTCGCCCGTACAGCGAAACAAAGCGTCGAGCAGTTGCCAACCGGAGACCATGTTTGGGCAGCCAAACCAAGCTGACAAAGGACAAGGCGTTGCCTCACATTGGGCGCAATGAACGAGGAGCAGCCAATCGGGCAACCAATTGTTGTCGTCAAGTCTTAGCGCAGCTTTGTTTTTCATGTCACGGAATGCCAAAGCCCAAGTAAGTGTCATGGAGAAGCCAAGCGCAAGCAGGAAGGGACAAGTGCGGAGACAAGTGGGAAGGCAAGTGGGGAGGCAAGTGGGGAGGCAAGTGGGGAGGCAAGTGGGGAGACAAGTGGGGAGACAAGCTGTGACAGGATTAGAGTCAGCAGGCGCAGGCACAAATAGGGATGGGGCGGGGAAGTTGGGAGACAAATGGGGGACACACCGTGCAGGGAGACAAGTTGAGTGGGGAGTAGTGGGGAGACAGGGGAGCCAGGGGGCAAACCATCTCGACCAGGATGCATCAAATCTGTCCTGCGGATATTCGCTTTACCACCGCTACTCCTCGAGATGCGCATCAGGGATATTGCAAAGATGAATCCCTCCGAGGGTGTGAGTTACCGTTGCCTGACAGAACCGATACAAGCTCCAACGCGCCGCTCGTCGCAAGGCGGGTGAATGAAGTTGGACCACAACGCACTTCTCTACAGTTTGTGCATCTCTACGACGTGGAGATCCTGCTCCGCCACCTCGACAGGTGCTACGATGCATAGCGGCCGAAGAGGTCATGCAGCCAAAAGACTTCAAAAGACAAGCAGGACAGTGGAAGAAGCTACCAAAGGACCACAACTGCCACGACGAAGAATTATTGCAGCAACGCCACCTAGCGGCGCACCACTATCATCCTGCACTAATGACGACACTTCCGAAGGCCAACCAGTGACCTCCGACAACGAAAGCTTTGACGAGCGAATCGGACCAACTGACAACACACGACGTAAAACTCGGCTTTGCGCCACCCAAGTCAGAAACAAATGTCTACTGCTCGGTCATGGTCTACAAGGACGGCTTAAACTATGTGCTACTTAAACAGATTGGCAACCTTGATCCAGACACTCCCCGGAAGAAACATCAAACACTTTGATAATTCCTGCACTCTACTCCTTCATCAACAACATGGTAGAGGGAACTGGAATGAC